AATAAAATAAAAATAAAATAAAAATAAAATAAAATTCACCACCTCACGGCAGTGATTGTGACACTGCCTGAATAAGTAAATCTGTGGTAAAGGCGGTCCTAGAAAAAGGATCAAAAAATGAGCCATTGTAAAAGGTCATGATTAGTTTTATGGTGTTGTTAATCTTCTTGCTAGCAAAATCAAATTTCTATAAACTATGAATAAATAAAAATGCACAGCTTAAGAGTTGTTTTCAGTTGAAGATACTTTACATAAGGAATTTGAGAGCATGTATGATTAGAACAACTAAAAGGTATTCCAAGACATATCACCAGTTGCAATTAAAAAATGCAATATCAGAACTGCTACAGCAAGGTAGCACCAACCTTTGTGTTTCCATTACAAAAAAAGGAGAAATTTGGAGACAAAGTAGTAAAGCATATCATTATCACAACATTACTGAAAATATAAAAAAAGCCCTAACATCAAATACTGTACACCCCGTAATCCTTGCCTGAATTTAGCACCACTGTTAGACTATTAAGCCAGCAGATAATCTTGACATTTGAGCTTTAGGCAAAGTGTGACAACTGTGGGTTACACTGGATTCAGACCTGCAGCAAAACAAGTGAAATAGCATTGATGATACCTATACAGCCACGTACACTGGGTGAGCAATACATTGACTGGAGAAGCGCTATAAGCTGCCAAAATTCCAGTCTGTGCTCCCGCTTCTCGCCCTTCCCCAGCGGAAACCCAGACAAGGCTTTGGAGTAGCTGGAGTGTGGTTACGGAGAGGAAGCTCTGCTTGTTTGCATGGAATCTGCTATTTCCTCTCTGCCAAAACACTTGTTTAAGAAAGTCATGTAATATTTCTATTAAACTGTAAACGCAGTTGACAAGGAAATGGCCTTCTGGCAGTACATTACCTTTGTGGCAGTGCCAACCGGCCTACAGCAAAAGAGCACACATGGTAATTTCAGCATGCATTCCCAAGTAACAAAATTGTACTTTACATAAATACCACAGAACTCCTGCAATGTCTACAAAGAAAAACCAACGAAAATTTGCCCAAGCTTTCATGCTTGCCTATATCAATTCTATGTCATAACTAAAACAGCGTAGGAAAGCATCTACATATGTCCAAAAGTCCTGTGAAGTTATATCGTGTAACACTGGAAAAACTATTGCAACTTAAATCTGTGCATTTCTTGTCAACCACTGTAACAACTCACTAATAAAAATTAAGAAAAACTGAAAGTATCAAATATACAAAAGAGTACTAACTGCATAGAAGTCCTTAAAGGCCATCACATAACTTATTAACAAAAACACGTGCTCTATGCAACCCAGAATTGTTTTAATTTGGCCTTGGATAGCATTCATTTGATTCCAAGATTCACAAGCTTTTAAATTCAAACAGTGACCTTGGGTTTATAAGCAGCTAATGTTATGTTTATAAAATCCTCTCTGATAATGTAGCCCTTACCTTTCACCAGATAGTACAACTACACACCGGTACGTTAAAACGAACCCAGGCATAATAAAAAAATGCAGCATGAGAAAATTAATCTGTAATCAATATGGTTCTTAAAAAGAACTTTAAAATACGGACATGGATTATAAAATAGCTAATTCCTAGGCGAAAAAATGGTAAGGGCAAAAACATTCTGTTTCCAAAATGATGCAGCATTTCAAGTTACAAAACAGCCGCTATCATTAATTGTACTGCACATTAAAAAAAAAGAAGTCCCTTCTCCTCTAACAAGAGCCCATGCAAACCAAAACCAAGCACCAACAGCAGAAAAACACCTGAATTTATGTATATCCTACCTGAAGTAACCACGTATCTGTAGTATTTGCTCTCTCAATAGAGGTTACTGCCCTATATTAAAATCCTGTTACATGAGACATTTACAGAAGGAAACTGAACAGATTATCCAGTGTGTCATTATTGCAACAAAGCACATGGATGAAAAAGCAAACATATACAAGATGCCTTGTTCATACCAAATGGACTTTAGACGTGTACAGCCCTACAACCAAGAAGTTACCTATTCCATAGTCCATTTCAAAGACCAAAAACCATGACCCACGGCAGCAACAGCTACTAAACATTCTTTTTCATAAACTTCTCAAAACAATTTCCTTATAACTCCTACTTCTCATAAAACTAATTCTGTTTGTATTTTACTTTGCAAAAAGTGAACTAATTCAGTAATAGATGTTAAGAGTTAATAAAAAATGAAATCTGCTCAAGGTTATTTATATTAGCAGTGCTCACATGACAATTCTGAATTCTTATCTTGCCGCCCAAAACTGCCTTTCAAAGGAGGATGGCCTCTTGGTGATGCTGCTCTGGAAATGCAGGTACAGCCTGGCACAGGCTCTATACGTTCCCTTCAGTTCAATTAAGCACATACTGATTTAGTTTTCTCTCTTATGTAGAGACAAGGGCACTTCAGACCTTACAGACACATGTCAAAATAGGAAGCGAGACAGCAAGTAAAACATGCACTAAAACTTTGTCCACAAATACCAAGTTCTGCGATTATAGGATTAGTATTTTTGTAACAACACCCTCCTCTCGTCCACACTTACCCTCATTGGATGAATATCAGCGTAGGGCGGCTTTCCTTCGGCCATTTCTATGGAAGTGATACCAAGGGACCAGATGTCTGCCACACAGTTATAGCCAATTTCTTGTATTACCTCAGGAGCCATCCAAAATGGAGTTCCTATAACAGTATTACGTTTTGCCATTGTATCCTGCAATTATATTATTTGTGCAATTAAAACAGGAATGGTTATTTTCAGAGATCTCTTTTAGGTTAATTCTATATTTAAACGTTAAAATTAGACACCCAGAGGTCAAACTGTAGTGACTTCTGATTAGGATCGGACTGACACAGCCAGCCAGGTTACCCAGGCCCAACAGGTGACAAGGACCATCCAGCGCTTTATGTAAAGCAAATTAAAATAATAAACGAGAACTAAGTAGCCTTTCAATACAAAATACTCATCAAGACAAGGAATGTCAGCTCTACTGCCAATATCAGTCACTTCTTTGCACACAAAAATCAAGGAACAAGAAAAGCAAAAGACATGGTTAGGAGCATTAAAGCATTTTTTAAAAGACCTTTCTGCAGATACTTACTGTTAACTGACCAGCAACACCAAAATCAGCTAATTTTGCGTGCCCCTCAGTGTTGAGGAGGATGTTTCCAGCCTTTATATCTCTGTGTATTTTTCTCATAAAGTGCAAATATTCAAGTCCTTTAAGAGTTGATTTAAGAATAGTTGCAATTTCATCTTCTGTTAGCTGCAAGAACACATAAAAGCATTTTTATTTTCAAGTATACGCATAACCAATGTAAATATATGTAAACTACAGAGGACATTATCAGGTAAGCACTATACAGCAATTCTTGTAAGTAATACACACCAAAAGGTACATAGAGGCAGGAATATGCCCAAGAGCACTTACAATTCAAATCTCTGATCTAGCAACTTGATGCACAGAGCTAGTTGCCTACACACGCCGGCCGAGTCCAATTCAAGTAAGTGAGCTGCAAAACCAGACAAGGCACCGAGGCAGATCGGGTGGCACAACAGGCAATATTCCTATGCCTGTCACTCCAAAATTATTACCCTTCAGACATTGTCTTTCACAAAAACCGCTGCACAGTTTCAATAACACACAGCCAACATTTATCACTAAAACCATAAACACTAACTGTCGAGTTATGCATTACCTTTGTCAAAACAGCTAGAATATTTCCCTAGGAAAAAAAAATAAAAACAAGAGACCCCTTTCTCTTTGCCAGAAGGCTAGGGCCGCTCCTCAAGCATGTGGCCCTTGAGTCAGGCATTTGCACAACAAACAAGAGGAGCCCTGCACTTGGAGAGGGATGAAAGGAATGCCATGTTTTCTCAATTTCGCACACTCCCACATATGAAACGCCTGCTAAGTCTACAATTAGGGTTATCAAGAAGCTGCCTTTGCCCATTAGCAAAGCCTAATTGCATTGCTTAGGTTCTCACTGAGGGCAATTTACAAATCAGAGAGGATGCAGCAAGAGCTTCCTGGCAAGAATGAAAAACAATGAAATGGAAGTAAAGGAATTATGGTATATGGAAAAGAGTCAAAAAGTTACGTACCACAGAGCTTGGGAAAATATATTAATCACGGACACTTTGCTATTTACTATCTGTAGAAAGACAAAGTAGCATGCAGAACTATAAACAGTCACAAAACCCCCAACAATTACCATCCAATTAGCAGGCTTCAGTAAAATTTTGTAAAGCTATTATATTTAATAATTTATTTTAATTTTATTTGAAGCACAAGGAAATGCTTATTTTTAAAGATAAATATTTCTCACTCTGCCTGTGCTCCATACTGATTCAAAACTATAAAACTATACCTATACAGATGCATCCTATGACCTTCCCCAAAATCCTACTCAGCCCCAAAAAGGGAAAACCAAGATATCAGGGTACTGTTATGCTGGAAAGTGCCTGCAAACTCTATCATCTCCTCCTTAGATCTGTAGATAGCCACCAAAATGACTTGGATTTGATGCCAACCAGAGGTTTGGGCTCTTCTTCCCCCACTCTCTGCTGCTGCCTGATGCGAGAACTCTCCCAAACTTTGGGGGTTCTTGAAGCTGCCTGCCTCAGTCTGCAACTGCTACACGATGTCCTCACAGGAAGACATCACCACGTTCAATGTATGGCTTTCCACTTTCAGATACAAACACCAAAGGCTTTAAAACTTCTTCCCAGAATCTTGATTACTTTGCTGTTCATGCAAAGCCTTCCTGTCAGCTCCTAATATTAAATGTAAATAATTTGCACGAGCGACATTATATTATGATACTACTGCCCTGTAAAGTTACATAATTGAACCAACAGAAATCCTGACTACATTTGAGAGCGCAGAGTGTCTTACAACAAGCACAACTCCCGCTGTGTGGAAATAAGGCAACACGTGATTCCCAAAGCAGCTACAGCCTGTTAGTATCTCGTGTCCTCTAGAACGCAGGCAGCTTACCCGCTACCTTTAACCAGGCTGAGCTGGAAACAAGTTTCCTTATGTTCTTCAACAGAACAATCACAGGCTTCCCTTACCTCTGAGAATTCACTTAGAAGGAATTCAAGGTCTGAAGAGCCTAAACTCTAAAGTAAATAACACATTTTGCATAGTTACGAGCAGTATTTTTTCATATTGTTACATTTGTTGTTTATCTTTCAGTCAGGATGAATTCATACACTCATAATTAGTCAGAGTGGCAGGAAAAGGCACAATAAAAATGAATAGAAACTGAAAAACAAAAATAAACAAAAATGAAGAGTAAGCCAAAAATTATTGTGGAATCTACTGAACTCTGGAAAAAAACATCACAAGTGACACATTAAGAACTCTTTTGTTTGATTTTGTTTTTTAAGCAGTCCAAGTAAATTCCGGTTTAAGTGAAAAAAAGAGATTAATGAAAATGAAGGAAATAATGAAAAATGACTATTAAATACCTATTATAATGAGACAGTATAAACTAGATAGCCTAGAATATTCCTCTCATTTATTCCACTAATACATTGCAGAATTCACACAGCACCACAAATAACGCAGTAAGCTGCAAGCAGGCGGGCACTTTCACTACAAAAGAAAATGCAACACAGAACAAAAGGAGAGATGCATATTTCCATGTATCTGCTCAGAACTACACAGGCTACTGAATAAATCATCAGCTAGCACAATTATCTTCATCACTTTGGATTAGCATGTTAGCATGCTGGGAATATGTCTGCTTCCCGAATAAGTGCTCACAGACAAGAAATGAGAGTAAATCTTTTGCATATGCCATAGGCCACAAACACACTTAGATTTTTGAACAAGATTCTACATTAAAATGCAAATACAGATCACCCCATGTGATGCAAGTTTTCAAAGAAATACAGAGAAAATATTTCTGTTAAAATATATTAATTATTCTGTTAAAATATATTAATTTTTAATATAAGTAACCAAGTGAACCTGATATTCTTAGAAATGCAAGAATCTATAAGATAAGAGGGAAATACTCAAATTAGGCTACACTACTGAGTTCCAGTTTTTTCTTCCACTGCTTTTACAAGAAATAATTTATTTCATATAGAAATTAAATCAAGCAGTAGCAGTACCTTCCAGTTCCAGTTTTGAGTGCTGGATACACATCTACACCTTCCCTCCCCACCACCACTGAAAAATGTACCAACCAATTCTCAGTCACTTTACAGGCCAGCAGAATGACTCAAAAGGAGAGAGGAGAAAAAAAAATTAAAAAAGGGATTAACCACCAAATTTATCTGCACTTGAGTTACTTAAGACAAGCTCCAGTTATTTAATGAAGGGGATTGTTTCCCGTTCCTGTTTCAGTCCATCCCCACAGAACGAGGGTGTGGGGACAGGGACAGGTCACACACTGGGTTCAATAGCAGTGTGGAGCTTGAGTCCTTCATGTCTGTGCGAAAGCCCAAACCAACCATTCCCACCCTGTGCCAGCTCTTCTACTGAATGACTGTGACTAACACTGGTAAAAATCCTTAATTCTGAAATACTGTGCATACAAAGAATGATCCCCAAGCATGAACACACAGGTAGAAATCCATAAAGCTCAATGCCCTTTTTGGTCTGGAAACAAGGGTTATTTGCCTTGTCTAAAAGAAAAACGAGTTGTGTTAAGTCCTGCAAATAACGTATCTCTAATACGATATGCTCCAAAAGAGGCAAGTCTGGTTGCGGGCTAGAGTGAAGGATGCCCCAGGAGAGGTTGTCCTGCCTGGAGAATAGGGGAGGTCTCAATGCAGCTTGAAACCATCTAGAGAAGAAATACACACACACACATACACACACACACTTCTTGGAACAGCCCAGCAAAAAGGAGGAAAGGCAACAGCAAGGGAAACTCCAGTTAGCTACAAGGAATATGGAAACACGCTAGAAGTGAAAGAGCCCTGGAAAGTTGCCTAGAACGACTACTGCCCAGAGAGACTCAGCTGGACAAGTCTGGATCAACCTGACTGAACTCTGAAGTCAGCCTTCCTCGGAGGATGGTGGATTAGACGACTTCCAGGGGTCCCTTCCAAGCTAAATTAGTGTTTCAAACAGGGGCAAGAAGCCATTCACCTCCTCCCTCACTACCTCCAAAATAAACATCTAATTTCAACAGAGGAACCTTTCTTTTATCTGCAGTTTTCCTACACTTCTCTGCTTTCTTCACCACAATAATACATAGTAATAAATTCATCTCAGCTTTATATACAGATTTATTTACTGTAAGAAATATATACACACACATGGAAGAAGGATACTGTTCTAACCTTAACCATTCTGGGTTTAAATCCCTAAACAAATTTTACTGTCTAAATACGAATTTTATATAGTGAGAGATTACCTCACACTTAAAAATTGAAAAGGACATTAGCAGTTCATCTCATGGTTTAGCTCCATGGCAAGCTTTCTTCTTTTCAAAGGGGAAATGCATCGAAAGAAAGGAGGAAGTTAAACTTCCACTTTTTAGTATTACAGAAATAGGGCTTTGAGAGCATTTTGTGATGTTCAGTGGGTATGTGATGCCCATACATGTTTATTCCCAATTAACTACGCATTAAAATAGCTACCTTTGATTGGAATGCATTAGTAAAGATAAATTCTGTATTTCCTATCCTGTGTTTACACGATCATGTTAGTGTTTCAGCAACTTAAGACTGACAATACCTAAAAACTACACAGAAATGAAAAAGGTTTTGATTATATTATGTAATCCTCACAATTCTTTCTTGAGAAAAAAAAAAGGAAACAAATAAAGAAAAATAAATAAAAGAAAGCTACAGCTCATACTGAAAGACCTGGGTCACAGGTGCAACTTCTGCCATTCTCTCAAAACCCCCACCACTAAATTTAGGGAGGGGGGTTGAATCCTTTGAACGTGGAAATAGAGACCTTGTACATGTCAGGAAAAAAAAAAATCTGTAAGAGTTCTGTCTTCCTGTCCCCACACTGAACACACAAGTTTCAGGAAGGTTTGAGACTGATCAGGAGAGAAAACCAACAGACATGTGGTTGGGGAAAAAGAGAAGGGAACACAGGACAGTGGCAGAAGAGACAGGAATAAAAGAGCAGGAATATTTCACTCCTGTTTCTTTTACCAAATAAAGCAACCTGGGTAAGAGTGAGGCTATGGGAGAAACAAGCAGGGTTCAAAGCAGGACAGAAAGAGGGGGAAAAAGAGCAGCAAGAAAAGAAGGAAGACACAGAAGCACATTTTTCCTCGTTATACA